GAACCTAGAACACTGTTACTTCTTCAGCAGCATTGTCCTTGTGACAGAGGGAGGCATTTTCCATGGCCTTTTTGTGCCTTATTGGCTTATTTGTAATTTGTTCTAGGACTGCTATTCATTGTTTTTATTGAATATCATGTGATTAATATTTTTTATCCTAAAAAGCGAAATGTGTTGTTAATTTGCTGAGTTCTGACAGGGTCTAGAGGTCACCTGGTGATGGTGCAGAGAGCTCTGGGTGAACCTCCTGAAGTGATGCTCTACTACTGTGCCTAGATTGCTGGCAGCATCTTTCTCATCTAAAGCCGATATAGTCTCATCTAAAGTGTACCTAACAGCTCCACTGATCTCACAAATTTACACCAAGCAGGGATCTAACCTGGTGTACGCATACGCTGTTCTGCTCTGAGCTGGCAACCCTAGCTGTCTGCACTGAGGTGAATAAATGTAATTTTGTTACTCATATGGACAACTGCTTGTCAAATCAAGGTCAGTGGCATCATCTGGCTGAGGGGAAAACAAAACACCCTTGTGGACCAAGCGACTGAAGCTATTGGAACATCTATTGCTTCCCCACTGTGTGATGGGGTAGAGATGAGTCTGAAACAGCAGCAATTACATGGGTGAATCAATATGTAAAATGCTCTAGGAACATCAATTTCTCTTTTAATGTGAGTGGGAGAAGGGAAGTTGAGAATGGGTAATTTCTACCTGTAAATAGCAATGATGAGATGTAGCTCCCTGGTTTTGTTGACATGAATTAAAACAGACAATGAAACACCCTTTACTTGCTCCACCACAGAACATGATCTGCACCATTTCAGGCATAAATGCAAATTTTGTCACGCTGCTCTAACTAACTTCAGCATGACGTTTTTTGGAGTCGCTGGGATTGCACACGTATAGGTTATTGACCTTGATATCAAAATCGTGCCCTGGATGTACCTGAAAATTGATAAAAATGTGTGTTTGGAAAGTGATACGCAGGTTATCCTGAATTACTTTTGTCTCCCAGAATTACTCTTGTCTTCAATGCACTGTTATGGAGAATATCTTATATGCCCTAAGAGGAAGAATTTGTCTTCCTAAGTGAAATGAGGCCTGGAACATGGTGTTTCCAACTTAGGTGATGTGATAGATAAATCTTCTGTGAAACCGAGAGCATTATTTGCAATTCTCTTAAAAAAGGACATGGGATAAGCAGAATCTGTTTATGTTATTCTTCTTCTGCCCTGATAGAAATCATACCCAAAAGAAAGAATTAGTATCAAAAGGTCCAATTCAGCTGCTGCTTATTTTGTTTGGACACTGGATCTCTCGGGAGTGACGAAGTGCGTCCTTATGTAAGCATCTTCAATTTTATCTTGCTAAAGGCCTCTTCAAAGTACCATCTGAGCACTTGAAGCAGTGAAGGGTCCTCATGGTTTCAGGTACTTTAGTACTGTAATATTTTTTTAGTGTGTTCTTTGGAGCCCAGGAAGAAAGAGAGAGAAGATGACTCAAAAAGTGTATGACATGAGAGTCATGGGAGTTCAACAACAAAGAGTTGTTGAATGGCATTACTCTTTGGGCATGCAAGACAACAAGGAGCAATTGCTATTACAAAATATTTATGCAGTGCTTTAAATTTATGTAACCTCTGTAAACAAAAGGAAAGCTTGTTTTCAGTGCAAAAGAGCCTGCAGTCAAAATACCAAGTTGGGATGATTCAGGTATTTTTCAAGGCAGCAAAAAAGATGCGAGTAGGTGAGGAAGTAGCTGATGATTGAAAGGAAAAATGAAAAACAGATCAATTAAATACAAATGCATGTAAGATTATGGGCACCTTCTAATCCTTAATCCAATTTATATAACCCTGTTTCTTCAGGAGTAGTTAAATGGGAATTGGAGACTGTTTAAAAGACATAGTTAGATTTCTTTACATTTCAAGAATTTGATGAATGACCTGATTAAGGTGAAATAAATACTTCTCTCAAGAAGAAAAGTTCCTGCATGCTTGTGTCCTCTTAGGCATGTGTTTGGGTTTTTTTGTTTGTTGTGGGGCTAGAATAACTGGTGCTGAAGTAACGATGAGAGAAGGGCAGGCTGCTTTGCTGCGTTCCTGCTAAGCCCAGGGGTTCTGCAGCGCAGCCTTGACAGGCGGCTGCTGTTTCCCTCGTGGCCTGTGCAGGGGAATGAGCCTGCCGGGTTGTCTGCTGGAAAGGCCAGGCAGAGAGAAAACGGTAGAGGAGGAGGAGGCACTTTCTACGATTTTGAGCTACTTCGTGCAAGATTTTTTTTTTTCCACCTCCCAGCAGAAGTGTTCAGTTTGATCAGGAAACTTCAATCCCTGAAAGCATGACTCATTTTAATCTGGATATGTTACTGCAGAGCCTCCTGGGAGTTTCTTCTTCACATCAGTAGCATTGTCCATGCAACTCTGTTCTTAGGATTACCAGGGGGAGACGACGTAGATTGTATTCACGTGTAGACTCTCCTTGTGTGGGTTATATTCTCGTTCATTACAAGTCTGTGCTGCTGTGTCTACGTGGCTGTGATAGCCAAAAGAGAGTGTGACCATCTTGCTAGAACCTCAAACTGTCTTAATCTTCTAAATGTAACTTGCTGCATGAACAAGTTTGTCACGAAGTTGTGCAAGGGAAGGGATTAGTATCTTGTAATTCCATGCAACCCCTGCTAAACTGCCTCACAAGTTGCAGTGAAATGCTGCTGCCTCGCTGAGGAATGTGGCCGGCGCCCAGTGAAAATTATCTGTTATCAAAACACTCCACCTGCTGGATACCGGCTGGAATGCGCCCCGCGCCGTGAGGAACTGTCCAGCAGGCACCTCGTGAACTCAGAAAACCCAGATCCTTAGAGCTAAGGAAGCCGCCTGCCTTTCTCGCTGTGAAATTCTACTGCTTGCTCTCTCACACAGAAAACTTACGCTGTTTAAATAAAAAACAAAACATAAAGTAGCTTGGACGCAGTCCTGTGCCACGTGCTCCAGGTGACCCTGCGTGTGCAGGGGGGTTGGACTAGATGACCTCTAGAGGTCCCTTCCAACCTTAAGCATTCTATAATTCTATGGTTCTAGTAGGTGGAATATATAGCTCCTGTACTTCTGAAACTGCTTCCTGTCTTGCAAAACCTCACAGAGCCTGCTCAGTTCATGGACTTTCTTAGCGCCAGAACAATGAGATTCAGCGTGAATCCATCCAAGCCTTGGCAGTTAGTGCCTGTGTCTGTCACTAGCACGAAGAAAGACAGAGATGTCCCCAGGGGCCTTTTGCATACGCTACAGACAGAAAACATCACCACAAACTGAAAACATCTTTAGTGTGTGTGCTGTTCTGTAAGTACCACCAGCCAAGATCATGTGCTGCTGCTCTCCTTAGCTCAGGGTTCTCCTTACCTTCTTGTGCTTGTAATACTGCAGGTGGCCGCTGTGTTTCAGCACAAACCACCTCTTCCTCCAGCCCTTCAGTATCGCCGACTGTGTCCGTTTGTGCAGATACCCCCGGCAGGTGGGCCGGGGAGTGTTGGGGTAGCGGCTGATATCTGATCCCACCACCATGGTCAAGACGTCAGGACCTAAAATATTAAATGAAAAATATGAAAACACAAATTCTAACTAGAAATAATAGGCAGTGTCATGCAGGAATATGCTGCTGCTGTTGTGGGCCTTTGAGCAACAGGGGACGGTGTGGCGGGCCACCCCCTTCTCCTCCCAGCGCAGCCTCTGGAACGTTTGGCCTTTTGTAGCAATCCAGGAACGAAACTCGGGCTGTGTTGAGCATGAGTAATGGAGCCAGCTTCCTGAAGGCAACTCTTAAAATAGTTTTTATGATCTCTCTTTGCAAGAACCAAGCTTGTAGATTTGGAGAATTGGCTAAATTTCAGTGCCCCAAACTAGATGTGTGTGCATAAACTGGGGTTTATACAAAAGTTACCAGTATGTCCTTATGGCCGCTTTCAGTCTCTGTTATTTTACCTAGGTTCTTAGGAGTTCTTTCTTCTCTGTTGTGAAATCTACTAATGTTTTATCCTCTTTGTGCTGTTGGAGCCTAACCTGTGCTGGCCTTTGCCATTGCCAAAGGAAGGGCTCTAGAGAGGTATTAGACTACAAGAACGCCTGAAAATGTAATATTGTTATCAGCAGTGTGGTTTTATAATATTGGCTGATGCTATCAACACACCTACAGCTTTGCCCCTAGAGGCCTGAAAATCCAATTACATCAGTTACTACTTCAGAGCAGACTGCAATGAAGAAGATTGAGAACTTTGACTATGGCATGTTTTCATTTGCAAAACATTTGCTGGATTTCTCTTTTGGGGTCATTTGACTTTGGGAATGCTGACTGGGAGCCAAGACTCAGGCCACTCTCTTGGTGGAGTTAAAAATACTTTGTAATCAGAAATTTATCTACTAAAAGACTTGACATACTCTTAAATGTAGCAGTGTGAATGACACCTCTATAATTAAAGAACTTGATATGTGTCAAGATACATTTGTCACTATCTTGTAAAAGCATTTTAATTTATTGAATTTCCTGTGAGCCCTTGTCAAAACCCTATCTGGGATAAATAAAAGGGCTGTGATAGATTGACTTTAAACATGCAAACATGGATATCTTTAGGGTTTAGACATCACAGTACTAGGAAGAATAGGCATGATTAATACTAGTGACTCTCTGTTCCTATGGTGCTGCAGCAGGCTGCCTTGTGAAATAACCTCGCTGCTCTCCTGACTAGACTCCTGTTCCTGGCAGCACAGAAATAGCTGCTGCAAGCGCTGAAGCAAGCTGTGAATTTCCTCCCTGAGGAAGCATAAGGCATAAATAGGATATTGGTGTGTCTGATGTCACTTTCAGAAGACTTTCTTGAAGGCAGGAGAGCTAGCAGGAGGGCTAAAAGCATTATTGTCAAGCATGCTCTTTGGGTCTTTTTTTTTGTCAGTCAGCCCGTTTTCTGCTATAATCCTAGCAAGGTCTGTATAAGCAAGTGATTTAGGCAATGTTAGTGCTAGTGTAGATGTATTAACTGTTAATTAAGACTTCCAAAGCCTCCAACACTGTTCTGTCTGTAGATTGTGATCATTGTATAACCATCCTGATTGATGTAACTGAGAATAATTTCCAACTCACCTTTCCTTGCCAGATTTGCAGCTTCTGAATGTGGCATGCTGGTGACATCCGTTCCATTGACTGCGATCAGAATGTCCCCTACCTGAAGCCCTGCTTCTTCAGCTGCACTGTCTGGAATCACAAGTAGAAAAATGGGATTTCATTATCACGCACATACAAATGTGACCAAAACAGGTGCCTGTCCATCCAGTCAACAGTTATGCTTTGGGGTCTTCGTGACTTCAACTTGAAAGTGGAGTAAATTTTCTGAGCCACGTATGACTGCCCTACAACTTCACAGTATAGCACTGATTCAGTGCCAGAAAATCACTGTCAGTGCAGAAATATAATTTAATGTCATTATGATTTAAATATTTTAAGGGGAAAATAGGCAGTTCAGTGTTTTTAGGATTTGGGCCTAAATTTCCAAAAAAAAAGATCTGGTCCAATCTTCGGTGAAGACAGTGGAAAGAACATCAGTTACTCCCCATGAGTTATGCATTTTAGACCAAAAGACTGCTTTCTAAGCTAATATTTCTCTTGTTGGCTAACAGAACTTGGCTGTAGTATTTGTGATTTGTGTCTTTATGAGGAAATAACATTCTAGCTAAGAAAAGAGTGAGTGATTCAGATTTGTTCATGTATCATCATCTTGTATATTTATTAACTATCACGAAATACATGTACTCCTAATAAACTACTCCTCAGACAGATACTTTTCAGGAATGGAGAGAAATCAGATGTGATAAATATGCTCTATTCACAAACACTAATGCACAGTCACTTAAATTCCATCCACGTATTTTTCAGGGTTTTTTTTCCTCATTTATACTTCGGCATTCTTAACATACTGGGGAAATTATTCCATGCCCTATTATTTGAAATATAATTATTATTAAGTTGAACTGAATCAGTAAATGTGATAGTTCTGCATTCCAAGGGCACTTAGAAGCTTTGGGGAACAGATTAGTGAAAATTTAATAATAAAGCCATGGTTCACTCATTTATTACAAATCATTCACAAGTTAGACATTTTGGTTTGTGCTGACCTTCAACCTATCATACAAGATTTCATGATCATAAATACTTTTAAAAATACTGAAAAGTTTTGTCTGGAGAAAAAGAATAGTCATCTCTATATATATGTTATGTAAATGTGTATGTTATTATATGTAAACATATAATCTATATGTCAGCTGAAACTTTTAAAACAAGGGAGAAGACTTCTTTGGAGCTAAGAAGTGTGCATGAATGAGAACTTGGATTCCAAGCAATGTCTTACCACAGCTAGTTGTCCAAGTGCTCTTCACCACAGTTGTGGCATTTAGACCAGTGGTGGCAGAGCCCAGTAATTTTATTTTCCTAAAATAATTAGCAATGAATGATAGCAATCTTTAACCTCGCTCTTAAAAGTAACCTTCTAATAAGGTGATTAGAGGTTGTTTTTTTCAAAATTACTTTCTCAGATTCATGCCATGTCATTTTAGATTTTAGTTACACTGTGAAGCTTTCCTACTTTCCATAGCTTATAGATATAAAAAAGTATTCTGGAGTAAACTTACGTAGGTGGTTTATGATAAATGTTATTATGTAGTCACTTCAGCCATAATTCAGTCTTACCTGGTTCCCTGTACAGTATTCTACAGGTAAAATATTTTTTAGATTCACATTATTGACAATATTGATAATGGAATTATTGAATGTATGTGTTTGAGCACAGAACAGTTTTTTTGTTACCTGAATCATGTTTATTTACTTGTAGACTACAGTAAGAGGTTAAGAGATCCTTGGATAAATCATAGCCAGCTTCTGCAAATAGTTAGAAAATAAGCCAACCTCTTATAACTATTTTTTTAACGAATACCTCTGTCCTTTGCATGTATTTCTCTTCCAGACTGAATACTTTATTTTTAGCATTTAATAAGCAGGGCATTTGCTCTGAGGCAACAAGTTACAATGACTTTTAGAAGTCATGAACAGCATCATGTACAAAACATGATAGCTGAAGTATAAGTCTAACAATGTTTAGACTTTAAGGAGTTGTGGGGATTCTGATACAAGTCTTAAAGCTTGTAATGTGTTTAACCTTTCAGATATGTCATTTGCTTCTCTGCGTTTGGCTCCTTTTGCTTGGATTTCTGGATTTTCTGTTATTCTCTAGAGGAGTTTAACAACGACACCATTTGTATGCTGAAGTGATGGGCTCAGCTAATGGATTTGCCAGTATTAGACCAGTGCAGTCCGGAAATAGAAACGCATGATACATAAGGCCAGGAGAGCAACAGAGCTGTTCTTAGATGCCTTGCTGGTGGGCCCTCCTATTTAATTCTGTGGTTGTGATTGTGAATAGACGTCAGCCCCACAAAGGCCTTCCCTCAGTTTGCCTCCACTCTTGCAGGGGCCCTTAAGAGGGTTTGTCAGAGACGATTCAGAAGTGCGAGTATATATTATTAAATACCTCACATCCGCTAACTGTGGAAACCAGCTCCCGCTGTAAAAAGATGTTGGTGAATAATAGGTGGCAATGCTACTTACTTGTGTCAACTTCAGTCACAAGGATAGGCTTTGAGAACTGGATTCGGAAGCCCCAGGGGTAACTGCCAGTCCCTTTAGCGATCTTCACTGTTCTTTCCCGAACTGCAGGGCAGGGAAAAGGAGATCCTTTTTTTTTGTGCAAGTCAAATCCAATTTAACAAGCAGCAGCTTGTTTATAAACACTCCCCCTCTCTAAGAGCCCACGCTCATTCATTCTGCAGATTGCTTGATGGTCGCAGTACCGCTCCTTGCTGCTTGGTGCGACCATCAGTCCTCATCTCCCTCACGCTGTGGGACTGACAAACCCTCATCCATCTCAGGGCCAAGGCAGACAGCTTCAGTGAAATATGATTTCATCAGCAGATTAAGGGAAGCGGCTGGACGTTGTACTGAAGTGGCAAAGACCCATGCGAACGTTCTGCTACTTTAGGGGAGTGAAAATCTCTCCTGCCCTCTGTTAAACAAATGTGTGTCAGAGTTCTAAGCTACAAATACAAAATTCACTCTAAATTCTTGAACGAGTTTAAGTCTACTTCTTGAACTGTAGTTCTTTTATGTTTTTGAAGCTATCTTTTAGACAGCAGTTCCTTCCTTTTTATTTTTCCAGCCCTTCATTGTCTGCTCCCCAATCCTGTGCTGTCATAGTCCAAACCCTTCCACCATATTGGGATCTCCTACCACAGCACTGTACCCATGTGAAGTGTCTTTCAAGTCAGTGTAATGCAGCACATAAAGGACCATCCTCCTTAGAAAGGAAGATCAGGGTCTAATTCTCTACTTCACATTTCAACATTTCTCTTGCTTGTGATAGCAATAAAAGCCTAGTATTAATGTCATGTCTCAGAAGGTCTGAAGGTACCTTAGTAAAGGTTATATTCCTGACAGACTTCAGTGTAAACTCAAATTGTTCTCTCAGAGTGTCTGCTTTTGATTTTATTTGTTTAAGAGGGACCAATTTAATAATATTTTATGATAGTTGTTTTGTCTTCAAATCATGTAACATTTGGTAGGCAGAAATTTCTTTGAAGGTTACTTTACCAGCATGCAAGTTGACGTCATCTATCTAAAAGATCATAGATACTTCAATACCTCCATTAAGTGGTTTGCTAAACTTCTGGCTCTTCTCTGGGGAGAGAAAGCAATCAAAATTCTCTGTAGAATATTCTCATATATTTTACAGGAGATTTTTCATACCCAGAGATTTATCAAGAACACTTCACATCCTCCAGTGTGTGGTGAATGATTTATGAGCTCCAGCAAAGAACTATCTCCTGGAAAGCTACAGAGGTGTTTCACTTTGTTCTTAGCTCTTCAAAACATGTTAACTTTCAGTAACATTTGAAAAACAAAGGAAAGCCCAACAAACAAAGCAATATTCACTGTATCTGTTTGCATGACAGCGTCTAGACTGCAAATAGAACACAAAAACTTCTTCATGCTCATAGCAAACTTTGTGCTTTTCTCTCTGGATCTACTGTTCGAAAGCTTGAGAGAGAACTGATTTTATGACAATTAAATATACTTTGTATTCACAAATAATCTTGTATGATGTTGCCATACTTAAAGAAACTATGACAAACATTGCTTTTATGTTTATTATGCAGAAAGAGATGAGATTTTATTCAGTCCTATTACCAATATGGATTTTTTTGTCAAGTAGTCACAATATTTTGAGGGATTAGCTCAATAAGAAATATTCATTTAATTTTTCATCTTTTTTTTTTCTTTTTATCTTTTTGTATTCCTCTTTTTTTCTTGTCTTCAGTGTAACTCTGGCATGTTCTCCAAAATGTTAATCCCGCAGCGTGCCCAAATTAGGTAGCTTTATGACATTTTTTGCTTGTAACTTTAGACTACTTACTTGCCACTGGTCTAGGCCTTTTGCTGAGACATCTGGGACTGTTATTGGGTGAAACATCATCTCCTCTGAAAACCCAGGAAGCAGAATGAAAGTTTTCTGTGTAGAAACCTCTGTCATCATTTTCAGAATGTAGTCCCAGATCTAATGAGCGAGCATCCTCTGAATTCACTATTAGGAGAACAGAGCAAATGAAAACGATATCAGTAGGCAAACTGGTCAAAACCCTTGCTTGTTTGAGATGTCTGACACTCGGCGATTAATTGTGAAAACTTCTTATCTGTCTGGTCTATTTCATTAGCAAACCAGACAAGTTTGTAGGAGCTTAGTGCCAGTCCACTGCTCATGGGAACACTAAGAGAAATAGGAATGTGACTGAAATACCTCAAATAATGATTACTACATTTGTTTGCTTCATCTCAACCCTGTCTGATGCAGTCTGCTTATATTTAGTTTTATGGAAAGGGAAATAAGGAGTTTTATTTTGGGGTATATTTTTTGAATATTTGTTTGACCTAGTTTATTGTTACTTGTGTTATCAGGAGATTTCAGAAAAAATTAATTGTGTCTACGTATAGTAAATATGCCCAAATCAATACATTCCTGATGAAAAATATTATTTTTAGAACAATTATTCATATCCTACTGAAAAATACAGTGTCACAGTACATGGTATTTCTCAGCTTTTGTGGTAGACTTTTTTTCTGTAGGTATTATATTTTTACTTTTCTCTGCTAATAGACGTTTTTAATTCTGCTGTTCTACAAGTTTGTAAACACAGAAGAGAGACACTTTTGTGTCTTCTCTTGACTGCTGATTGTCTATGTGAAACATTACATTGTGGCTACAAAATTTCTGAAATTCTGTGTTTTTGCAATATAGTGACCATTGTTTATATTTCCTTTCATAGGTTGCTAAATCAGTGATTTTTATTTTAAGCAGATTGGATTATATGGACAAACGAGTCACTTTTCACTTAATTGCAGTACAATTTTAATAGTCTGTTGTCCTTTGTGTAATCATCTGTGTTAAAAGAAGTCCTATGAAATAGCAAGAGATTAAGACGTGTTATGGATAAACATAAAACTTACTTCATTATAGGGTATGACCCTACAGGGGCCATATGACCAAATGCTTGCTTGCATTATACCTTGCTAATATATAAGTAGCCTATATATACATTATTAATACATAATTAATAGCTTTCATGGTGAAACTGTAATCTTGTGTTTTGTAATGGGCTCACTAGCTCAAACCGTATCACTCAGAATAACATGGAGACAGTGAAGAAGTCTGTAATTCCTCTGCTACAAGGGGAAAAAAAAAGGCAAAAAAAAAAGAAAAAAAAGAAAAGAGACCAAGTGATTTTCAGGGTGACAAGGGGCGAGAATAAGAGAGGAAATGGCTGAGTAAGAGGCAGGCTGTAGGTAACAGTTTGTGGAGAGAAAGATTGAAAGACCTCAGAAACTAAAAGCAGACAGTGAAAGGCATAGAAAAGCACAGAATGTCAGAGAATACATTAATAGATAACCTGAAAAAATGCTTTCGTATGAATGAGAGGGGAAAAAATCACAATCCTTTCAGTTACAAACTGCCTTGCATGATTCTGGGAAAGGCACTATTTATTTGCTTTGTTTTTATCCTGTGTTTGTTGTGACAGTTCTGTAGAAAGACTGTCCATTTCCAAAGATAAAACCCAGCTTTCCTTTTGTTTTGTTTAGGGAGTTACTTCCTGGATACATTTAGCCTATATCCAAGGCGATCCAATTTTCTTTCACTTTGACAGGTTGTTTAACTGTAGCATATGCACAAATAGGCCGCGGTTACGGACCTCTGCTTTCTCACACAGACAGTATGAGATACGGTGATTAGCTATATAAAAAGCACTAACAAGTAGATAGTACCAAGCTGTCGGTCTTAAAGCACGTCTCAAACAACTAGCATGAATTTAGAAATGAAGCTAAACTGGTCCAAGCAGTTCAGTACAGCACAGTGTTTGACAAATAAAATAATGAAGTCTAGCATCTTAGGACAAAGATCATAAGCGACTGCCAACAGCTTCTTTGTTTGTATGTCGAATCAGTCGGTCATCCTTGCTGTTTTTGGTAATGGACATTAAATACTTGGGGACTGGCTCATTTGCCTGAACACAGGTTGAGGTATCATACGAGATGGTTTAGGGTATCCTGCTAGCCCTGCCATTACTGCTTCAAAAGGCATGGATATCCTGTAGGTCACTCGTGGTATCTGAAAGCCCCATAGGGAACTCTGATGGCATCCCAGCTGGCACTAACCACCTATGCTCAGGCAATGACTTGAGCTGCTGCTGATTGCAGAAGTTACCTCCCCAGGACACACACGGAACATGTTCACAGCTTATGTGGTATTGCACCTACACTGAAGATACTAGTCCCATAGCTGTCAGGCTTACACAGGTTTGCACTTAACCTCCTTCAGAAAGGAGGTTATGCATCTATTGCCAAAACTTCCCTCACAAAAATAATAGCACCAAGTATTCCTCTAAGAAAGAGATACTATATATCTGCAGCATCAGTAAAATTTCCTGTTTGTTAAAGAAAGGATAAAAAGTTCTTCATCTGTCAAGTCTACCTTTTATATTTGTTAAAGCAGCAAACCAGGAGGCAAAGGCAGAGTGAGAAGTACAGCATATGTTCTCTCCTAGACTGAACAGTCCCTGCATGGGGACTTTGGTTGCATGAAGTGTAAATTCATTAAGCAGTTAATCTTTAAAAATTCCTTCCCATGAGATTTTAAGCTGCTGAGACTGGTGTAGGTGACAGATTTCTTAATGAGATAGTTACAGGAATAACTGTTCCAGTAATTGGGGGGACAATGAAGGACAACCTAAGCAGCAAACCTGAAGATAGAAGCTGCGGGAGGCATCTTAGTGAGGAGAAAGCAACTGCCAGCTTCTCATAACTCTGACTTAAGCAAAGCAGGCAACTTTTGCCATGAGCAGTTGCCTGTTTATGCTTAGAGCTTGTCCTGTAACTAATTGTGTAAGGGCAAGGATGATACCACCTACTTTTTATCAGGCAGATTGTTTGCTCTCATGTGTGAAGAGGAAAGAAGGAACCTAAATCCCCCTCTGAGGAAGGGATACATTGGGTCAAGTGTGATTGCTCGCAGTAAGGACCAAGATGGAAGCTCAGGTTATGAGCTGAAGATCTGTGTCCATGGCTGACAATCCTAAAAGGGTAACAGTCACTCACAGGAGGAAAAAAATACAGTTGCCAGACTGATGTACTTACTTGATCCCTCGGTGATCGTGCTGTTTATGGAGCTTCCTCCAGCTGAACTGCATTTTTTGCTGTCTTTGAACTGTTTTCGTCGCCTGGCCCACTGGTCTATTGCTTCTTCCTGGGAGCTATCACTGGCTCTGGTGTCTTTCAACAAGGGCAGCTTTCTGGTTTTATTCAGTTCTGATTTCAGGTCTAAATTATAATCAGATGTTGCTTGTGAGAAATAGGTGTTAAACATAATTTTCAGAATATGTTCAGGCAATTATCCCATTTTAAATTTCTGCATTTTAAATATGAGTGACCTGTTTGCACATACAGAAATGACAATATTAAACAGTACTGAAAATGCATAAACCCTATCTTTTTAGAAGAAATAAGTTCTTCCCACAGAGATGAGTGCAGCTCTTGGTTCGGTAACACCCTGTCCTTTCTGTCTCATTCTGGCCTTTCTCAGATCACTGTCACAAAATGTATCACAGAGCCCCTTTTCCAAGAGAATTGGTTATTGGTGAGTCAGTAAACGATTTCTTTAAATGCCTTTGACATAAGTCCTTGTTGGCAGACTTTTATATTGCCTGGACTCCACCTCCTAGTCCTTTTCACAATGTTTTGCTCTATTTTTCCCCTCTGTTCTACATGCAGTCTCCCTTTGCTGAAAATTGCCATATTTCTCTTTCAGCATCATTCAGTTATTGAGCACAGGAAGCCCCAGGCTGCCACTTGTGCCCGAAGTCTTGGCTAATTAATTTGTTATTTCCCCATTCCAAGCGGACTCTAATTCACATTAATCACTTTTAAAACTTTAAATGCTGCCCTCACTCCCCGCCTTTTTTTTTTCTTTCTCTTTTTTTCTTTTTCTGAATACGAACACTTACTTATTTAAGGTGAGACCCCCACAAAAATAACATGCATGCCAAATTCAAATTCATCCACGGACTAGAAGAAGGCCGAAGCCTTGGATACTGGGTGACCCAAACCAGGTGAGGTGGCAGCTAAGAGCCAGCGCACGCACAGAAAAGCCTCAGCCAGGGAGAAACGGAAAGAGAGGGGAATAAAACAACAACAAAAAAACCCAAATAATCATTCCTTGCTGTTGCGAGCTAAGTGCGCTTCTGTGCAATGTGTTTAAACCCCAAGGTCCAGTGTCTAGGTCAAGGTTTCCTGAGCGTGCCTGAGATAGAAAAGAATAGCAATTCAAAAATGGCTTGCTGCAACAAGTGAGGAAAACGTTGCTTGCAGCTTCTTTTAGTTACAAAGCCTTGCTAGAATCCAAACAAGATTTTCTTTCTACTCCTTAGTCATTTCCTTGCCAGCATTTCCAAGCTAAGCCACCATTCCTGGAATAGGTGGAAGATAGAAATTTTTCCCTTATTCTGATGGCTGCCTTCAATATCTTCTATCTGCACTTCTAAACCAATTTAATTTTTTTTGTGTGTGTGTGTGCATAAATAGTATGCATCTATCTAGTCAATAGCACGTTTTTGGTAGTTTTGGTCGTTTAAGAATCTCACTGGCAGTACCAAAATAGTGAGCTTGAAGGACGTTATTTTCTGTAGATATCGTGAATGAAGAATATTATTAAAAACTTTCCAGTGTTTTTTAAAGAATGCTAGGATTTTAAGAAGTATTTTCACCATGATCAAAAGTACGTATTTTCGTACAGTGTGAAACTTCTAGTCTCCGAGCCTGCTAGGATCTATTCTGGAGTCAAATAGAAGAGTTTCTTTGGGACCTTAGGGGGACTCGCTCTCCTGCGGTCCCTCAAAGACCAACCTCGTTGTGGTCCCTCCTCAACAATATCTGCAAAATAGGTGGATGCATGTTTGCATGGTGTAAGCTACTTTGCTTGCACAGCTTATTGTTTAATGTGGATTAGTGTTTATTGTACAATAGTCACTTCTTGAGCAAAGCAGTACGAAAATTTTCTTTATTTTTTATTAAAACTTTCTTGACTGTTCAAGAAAGCTCCTAGGATCCTCAGTACAATAACTGCATTATGTAGCCAGGTGGTTCAGCATACGAATATGATCTCTTTGTAAAGTCAAAATATACTTTCCTTTTCTCAAATAGATTTCAATAAAGCACTAAGCCAACTACAGTGGAGGTGCCTAAGTGATACTAAACCCAGAAATCTTAGAGCACGTACCTTTCTGACTAATCTGTTTTATTGATGATGGAGGGATATCTGTGTTCTGCTGAAAATCCTCCTTCATTTCGGGATTTTTCTCAGTCTCCTCAGAGGTGGATTTGGCTAACTGATGTGGCTGATGTGCTCCTGGCTCCCTCCTGAAGCTGTCATCGGATAACCGTTTGCTGCAAAGGTTCTCGCTTGTTTCCTTGATATGTGAATGTTCTGTGAAAATCTCTTTCTTTTCTGTGCATGCTGAAGAAGCAGATAATGTGGCAGCCTGTGCAGAATCACTGTGACAATTAGCTTCATCAAGGATGCTCCCACAGCCGTCCTGAATCTCCATCAGGCTGTCCAGTTCATTTTCCGTGTCAAGTTCTTCAGGATCTGAGAGCAAGGGTGTTTTTTGTATACTAAAGGAAAGCTTAGGCTCCCTTCTAACTTGAAGGCTAAAGGAATCAGGTATGAATTTGTTGTCACCTTGGATGATAAGTCTTTGTTCTAGCTCTCCAGCTATTACAGTCGTTTTTGATTCTCTCCTGTTCTTTGTCACTTCAGGCTCTGCAGAGAGTAGAAGTTGGTTTGGGACATGTTTGGTATCTGCATCGTCAGGGTTTTCCTTGTCACTAAGAAGATCACCTGGTGGGCTTGGAGAAGTTGAAGAGACTTGTGTCAGCTGCAAGTCTACCTGCTTTTCTAGATGATTGTACTCCGGTGGCCCTTCATCTAAAATGCTTTCAGTAGACTCTGCGTCTTCCTCCCGTATGGCTAGGTTTCTCAGAGGCTCCAGACATTTATTTTCTTGTTTCTCACTTACATTGTCACAGGAACAAAGAGTCTTCAATAACTTTTCTTCTGTTTCTTCGCTTTGGCCTATATAGTTGGCATATGCAGTTAGTAAACAAGCATCATCTAAACTTTGAGGTGGATAAATGGTAATGTTATGATCAAAGGAGGTGAAAGCGTACTGGTAGGAAGACTTTAGACTTCTCAGACTCCTCAGAGAGGAGGTGAAGTCAGGACACTTACCAAGTTCCGCACTGCTAGTATAAATGTGCATGTTCTTGCTGTAAATGTCTCTCGGTTTGGCCTCCTTGCATAATACTTTTAAGGATAAAGATGGCAATGAATGAAAGCCAGAATCTCTTCTAGGATGGACTGGAGATAGCGTATCCAGGGTAGTATCTGGAAAAGACTTTCTTCTTGCTGCTTTTTGCCCGGAGTCACTGACATTGTTGCTGATATTTCTTTCTTCAACTGTCCTGCTGCTCTTAATGATGAATGCCTTATCAAAGTTTGGCTTATTCAAGATATTACTATCTAGAATATTTCTGTTATTCAGTTTTGAGAAAATTGTTTTATCTTTTGAAGCATCTTCTTTTTCACAGGTGTGGTCTTCATACTCCTCTTTGTCATGTTGACAGAAGTAATTTTCTTCCTCCCACGTTCTCAAGGCTGCAGAGAGGCTGTCCGAGTCTCTTCTGTCATTCTCAGAGTACCAAGACACCCCCTCTGAAATAGTATCCAGATGCGTTGTGTCACAGTCGGCAAACTCTTCTGGGGGAGGAAGAAGTAGGCAGCCGTCCAGAGATGTCGAGTCGTCCTCGCGAAGACTGAAACATGACTCACCGTCTCCGTTGTGTGGGGCCTCCACTGTAGAACAATCTGTTTCACTCCAATATGTATCTTCGTGGTTGTTGTTGCAGGTTTTGGTGTGTGCCTGTCTGCCGGGTTTGACGTTAACCATCACATTCTTCTTTCTGTTGGTGTACTTCACTTTAATTTCTTTGCCTTCAATATTCATTTTCAGGCAGGCATCTTTACTAGCGGCAGTCTGGATTTTATGTTTGGAGGATATCTTGTATTTCTCATTGTTATCTACTGAGTGGATGGCTGAAGGACAGTGGTCCTTAGGACATTTGGAATACTGGCTTTTCTGGTACCGTCTTTCGTGACAGCGTCTACTGTTCTTTGAACTTCTAGATTTTTTGACTACAAGATTTGTTCCCGTACCAAACAAAGAAAGGTTCTCAAGTTCAACTTTAATATTAAAGGAACCATATTTTACTTCTGCAGTAAGTTTTCCAGTAGCCAAGCTAATGGACTCTGCAGAGCCTGGCTTGCTCCACAGTGTGATTTTTCCTGTAGAGGAGCCCTCTGACTCACTAAATGCTACTGTAGCTAGGATTTCGTGTTGCTGAGGAGACAGTGGTTGAGCAGGGCAGTTCTTCTCCATCTTTCCTTCTTTTTCACTGTCTGATACGTTATCAAGGTCTCTATCTTCAGATGCATCTGAACTGCTCTGGTTTTTACTTTCGTGATCTTTTCCATTTTCTTCAGAACACTTTACATCTGATGACTCAGAGAAGTGAGCCAGCTCATCCTCTACTTTATTTTCGAGACTTTCTAGATTTTGCTGGCATTTACAAATGGGTGGCAATTGTTCATCTGATTTAAGGGAGGGAAAAAAGCAACATTTTTCCGTGATTTGGTAAGCAGCATCATAACTGTATTCTTAGCTTTGAGACACTTTTCACAGAAAATGCCTTTTTAGCTCTAAAGGATAGTGTATTTTTCCATAACAGTATTTTTTTTTCTTTCCAGTATTCGTTAGTTTTGGCATAGCTATTTGATAAGTAATACAAAGCCAAATGGGTAGCCCATGTTAGCTCATTCTAATTACAGGAACTCTTTCCAGCTATAGGAAATTGGTATACATATAGGTTTTTTTTCTCAGAAAAATCTATAGTAGTGATATTATGTAGGATTCAGATTGCATTTAGAAAGATCTCCCCTTTTACTTCCATTTTTCATCGGAGTATTTACTCCTTTCCTGTGGGACAATCAATATCCCATTGCACGTTTTCAATCTGGTGTCGCTTGCGTGGAACTTGACTTTTATTACCCTTCTACAGGTGAGCAAACAGAGGAATTAAGAAATATTGGCACCATTGGCCCAGCGAAGAGGTGGCAGCATTCCCAGGAGGAAAGAGTTCCCCATCCCAAGCACAGGCTGATACCGTTCCCTGGGGGAAGCGGGTCTAGGCAGGATTTCATGCCTTTTATACGGCACACAGAAATCTGCCCGACTCCAGCTTTTTTTAGAATAGGTCATGTGCATTACAGGATAATAGTTTACAGTGACATCTAGCTAAGCAGGATTAGATCAAGCTATTCTACATTAACAACAGCCATAGAGCTACAGAGAGAATGATGTGAACGTGAGGTCTTAAACACCAGCATCTTGGGAAGGGCTCCCAGAAATAAGTAGGAGAGCAGCTCAGCAAAAATAACTGGTCTCATCAAGACATTATCTACATGTAATCACACTTGAATGGATAAATATTTCCAATTTAAGAAACAGCTTTAGGCACAGAGATGGATTTCTGTCTTGATGAATGACCAGAGGGCAAATGTATATGATTCTGATGTTTTTACTTCAAATTAAATATTTCAGTAGACTTACATTCTCTGGAATCAGAGCTTTTTCTGCCCTTGCAGCTTTTTCTTCTTTTTCTACTCATTTTTAAAACCCGAGGGCATCTAGGCTCCACTTTTTTTCTGTGTGGGAGGGAAAACATTTGATTGTGAGAAAGAGTCGGTATGACAATTTTGCTCTCTTAATTTTCTCTATCTATCTATCTTGTCTGTGAAGTCTGACCATGACTGACTTCATCAGCCCATGATTCTTAGACATGACTGTGTTGTGTTAAGCACTCATTTCTATTTTAATCTAATTTATATGGATACTGAAAAAAATTATTGTTGCCTTTAATTTTGAAAAAAAGTAGTGAAAATGAATATAAGAGAATAGAATCCCCAAATCCTTAACTAGGAGATGATCTTCCCATCCGTGCTGAGTGAATTGTTTTCTTGCAGTGAAATGAAACAAAATTGGCATTGAACTGCCCAAAATATGTGAAATCCAGCAGTTAGGGATTTCACTATTTAACCACATAGAATGGTGACATGTTCCTGTGCAAAGCTGGCTAAACTGTTTTTGTTGACACTATTGAATACTGAAAATGCAATCTGGAATATAAACTAACAAAAAAAGCCCTAAATATTTTTACTATATTTTAATGTCGTATGGAAAGAAAAGTTGTGTATTTACTTCACAGCAGACGTTTTGGGATTTTGCATTGTGTAGAATGCGACTATTGCCATATTTTTGGCTGAGTGTTTTTAGTTAAGGCTTCACAGACAGCCAAGCCTCCTCAAAGGTGTCAAGTTCAGTGCTGCAAGGGTATCTAACAGTAATCTGACAGTAATAACTGATATTTTAGTTATACTTACTTCTATTAAGTTGTAGTTGAGGAAAAGACTTACTTCCAGAATTGCTGTCAATTCAACCTAAGGAAAACCATCCCTTCTTCAACTCCTAAAATTAAGTCCTAAAATAATCTCAATGTGCAACAGTGATTGACATCAACAGGGATGCCTGTAGGACCACGTTGCTCCCAGTGGGAGGATTTCAGATTTGCCATGTGGTTAAAAGTGAGAAGGAAGACTGAGCTGACCAGCATGATTTAAACTGTTTTTATTGTTGTTTTTAAATTTTTGTACTTGGTAAAGAAGGAAAAGTAGGTGAAAGCTATAGTTTAGGATGTTGTTTGGACTGTTTGTGAGGAAGACTAGTTTCTTTCACTAATTTTCGTATTTATATATTACTCATTTAAATACCAGATGCAGTATGTTGTCATTGATATCTTAAAATAATTTTTAAATAAACGTTGAAAGAGTCTTTAATATCTAAATAGCTTTATTGTCTCTGCTGCATTTCCAAATGGTAAATTATACTTTCTCATTTCTTTCATTGCTCATTTGCTTATTCTCTTTGCTTATTCTTGCTTTGTTGGTTCTCCAGCTGGGATATGCTCAACAGAATTAGGAATCCCATCACCTTCGATACTAGTCACGAGAAGTCCCATTGCCTGGGGTAATGATTAGTTGAAGGCATCAGAACTGCAGGGTAGGAGCTCTATCTGGGGGCGATACTGTCCACTGCCACGTACTCCTTGGGAGAAGCTGAGTGTTCACTAGTCCAATTACAACATCTCAGAACAATCAAACATGAACTTAGGAATCAAAAGATTTCTACTACCTCCTCTGTGTTTCAAACATACCGGCCCTTTTTGATACATTTCCTCCTCTTGGATGTAGTGTTTGACTTTTTGTCTCTAAACCTGTCTACCAAATTTTGTTGTCCTTGCCTCCGGTTGTGCCCCTTGCTTTCTGTATTCCTCGGGAGTCTTCTCTTGCCTACTCATCTTCATTTTCTTGGCTCTCATTTTGCTCAAGTTTGCTTATGTTTGGCTCTCCTTACTGATCGGACTTTGAAGCGTGCTGCCTGTGTTGGTGTTTCGGTGCTGTAGAGGATAACTCAAAGATATATAGGACTCACATATTTATGAATTCCTCTGATTGAATTTTCTGCCATTTTTCTTTTTTTTTTCATTTTTTTTTCTCCTACAGAGATGCTACAAATCTTCTTAGCAACTTACCACTATTCTGTATCTCAGTAATTTCTGAACATGCATTTTTTGCACTTCTGCCAAAGAATGTATTTCAAGTCAAACACACACATGGAAGGAAAGAGGTGCACTATCAAAAATACCTGGCTTAGTGGTGTTTTTTATTCTTCCTCTCAGCTGGGTGTATATATCTTATTTTCATCTGCTTATCTTTTCTTCTATATATTTTCCAGAGAAAAGACAAAAACAGGCCAAAAGGTCTTTGGAAAATGGTTAGAATATTTCTTCATTTTGACTAAAAAAAAAGACAGCCCCTTTCTAAATATATATGGAGGAGTAACAGGACCCTGAGGCATTCCACAAAATTGATACATGACTGATGTGGCTGGAAAGAATCAGCTTCCCTGCAGATGCAGCCTTGGTAGTTGTCTGGCACTACCCAATTATATACGACAAGAGTATATCCACACTGAATACTTACAAAAGGATGTGTAAGTGAAATTATTCAGCAATTATACTAAGATGGGGTGATTAACTGTTTTATTTCATGAAATGTGCTGCAGAATTTTTAATAACCATATGGAATCATGGTCTTGCTTTTTCACCTCATCAAAAGATAAGTGAACAGCAATCGGTAGTGTTTCTACAACATTTCTGGTCCTCAGGAAAGATTGTTGTCTGAGCGACTAAGAACATCACCTGTAGCATCAAGGATCACATTCAGGCAACTCAGACTCCGTGGAATTGGGATTTTGCATTAGTTTAGACTAATGGAAGCGACAAGTGACACTTGACAAATAGTGTGAAATAGGTTTAAACTGACTTTCTCAAAGGAATAGCTGGCATTCTATTCTGATTATTATACTTAAAAGATGTCCCTGCCCACGTACTGCTCTTTGCTTTCATTTTAGAAAGGCTAATAAGGTAGTGAGTCAGTCAAGTATTTTCCAGATTATTTTTACTGGGAATGCAAATGCTTTCAGATGCACACAAAAATTATAGTTCAGCTTTTCAGTGGTATCAGTTAAATATAATGGATGTTCATGTATTTACTCTGTGTGCATAAAATACATATTTTTACAGTGGCCTAGACAGCTTACTTTATTGTGCATTGCAGCTGTTATATTGGATAAAAAAAACATTCTGCCCTTACTAAAATTTTCCTCATAAATTACCTGGCTGTCCCAACTGTTTGAGTGTTTCTACTCCTGTTCGGAGGCCAAAGGAAAAACAGCCAATTTGAGCAGAAGCTGGATCAGCCCTTTTCTTGTCACTGGGTTTGTCCTATAGGCGTTTTCTCTGGGAGTCAGTCACTTTGGTTTTGTTGCTGTTGTTTTGGCATATAAATCAAACTTCGTTGGTATGAAACACAGGAGCAGGTAGGTGAAATGCGCTTCAGATATGACGTGGCAATTGGACATGAAGTTAACAGAAATCTCACTGTAACACCCTGCTCTTTCCAATAGCAGGAAATAGAAATTCTGCTGCCACCAGCAGTACTACGCTCCCTTGTCAAGTCACCCTATGGTCATTTTTTGAATTTCAGAATTTAGTCTCACCATAATAATGTAGCCCCCAAACCTCTCGTGTTTTACTTGAAACTCTGCTTATCAAGAACGTGTGCAACAGTTGGAAGTGAGTTAGCTCACTGCCAGCTTTGGAAGAGACTCACTTTGGAAGTGAGTTAGCTGGTTATTTTGAGAGTAACTGTGTGACTATAGAGTATAAATTATGACTGAGTAAATATTTGTTTTCTTATAAAGTGCTGTAAGAAAAAGAAGAATGATCCTAGCTTCCATGTTTTGATTTCCAGTCTCTGTAATGGAAGAACTTAGAGTATATCCTACCTGCTTTATTTTCTGACTATACAGCTTCCAAGGTCACTTTCTGGAGATTTATGGTGTGTAGGAACATAGAATAGGAGATAAGCAAAAGGGAAGTGTTTAATATTTCGTAGGCATGTTCTTAGTTCAGTGCAAGTGTGTTGAGAAAATTGTTTCTCCACCAAACTGGGAGAGAGGGATCCACTAGTAGAATATTTCCCTTCTTAAAGAGGAGTAGGAAAAACACTTTTCTTGGAGTGGTTTCATGTGGAGGAGGCCCTTCCATCCCCAGCTCTCCAAGTGCTGCAAGCTGAGACTGCCAGCTTCTTTACTCAAGGGCGTGTAATATTCCTTCGTTACCAATATGTCCTAGCCCTGCAACCTTACCAGAGCATTCTTCACCTTCCACATCTGAAATGGTCTTTGCGGATAAAGACAGCACAAATAAGAAATTGAAGTTTGTTTAGGTAGGCTTTCAATTCTTAAAATATATATATTGCTACATTTTAAGTGCCTATCTGCTTGTAAATAAGATGACAGGCACACTTGAATGAAAAATCCATCATAAAAATCTCTTCTATTTAGGAAACCATTACTCATATTTATTCACAAACCTAAACTATGTACTCAATTATAATCTGAACTCTTTAAATTGCATTTACTTGTAAAAACAATTCAGAAATTCCAGATTTTATAAAAGCTATAATGACTTACAGCAATTAAGTATCCATAAAACAATACCCGACACTTAAGGGTGCCATGTAAAATAAAAAGGTATTTATACTTACTGTTGCTATGAGTCAAGACTGGGTTTTCTCAGCTTCCCGTTTGCTATTCTGAGTGCCTTTGAAGAGTCTGGTTTTCTAAGCTAACGCAGGATGGGCTGGCTGCCTTGCCGTGGCTTAATAGGATAACACGTACAATTTTTTTTTCCTTTGCACTTATCCACTCTGCACTGTCAACCCCGGTCAGGAGCAATGTGCTCCATACACATATCCTTCAGTCGCTGAAGCAAAAAAGGACTGCTGGCTGTTTAACCCTTAACAGCTAAAGCAACTGTGAAAAATAATGTTTGCTCAACTTACCTGGGCAAACGCTTTACAGAACATCAGTTTTGTCTGCAAAATCTAAGTTAATAATATTATGTATGTGAAAAGTAAAGATAAAAGAGGAAGCAACACTATTTACAGTCTTGCTCTACTTCTTTTTCTATTTCTGTCCCTTAAGCTCAGAATCTGATTAGTATAATTAATTCCATGCAGCATCGTGACTGGTCCGCCTTTAATCGGCCTACTGACATCCACTCTTTCTACCTTCACATGTTGTAGAGTGTAAGTCACATTTTACCAATTCAGTAATACTCCTACACAAAAGACAACATATAGGGTTCAAGCAACACTATCCACATTGGAATGGCTTTATTTTTCATATATTTATACATATGCAATGTGAAAATAGGATACAAGAAATAGTCTTATATGAAATATTTCAGGACCTAGGAAAACTTTGCATGAAAAATCTCATGCCAGTATTTTAAAATGAGCTGACTGGTCACCAGTATTAAGTTTTCCATGTGTTTACAAACTAGTTTTGTTCACCTTGTTATATTATTATTTTTATTACCTGGAAGTTTGTAGTTAATAATTTCTTAAAATTTTAAAAATTGATAAAACACATTGATAAAATAGTTTACCTATTATATACTGAAAAAAAGTTAGTAATTGTTAGTGGGGGGAAAAAAGGCATTTTCAAAAATGCTTCTCTTGTACATCTACATATGGTAACAGAACTTCCTGTGCCCTGCTACCATCCTAGAAAAAAGGGCAAAGATAATGATACAACAGTCTTAAATTGTGTGAACAAAACCCTTCTCTTTCTTGTGGTTCAAGGGATGGTAAGTTTTTTACCATAGTGCATTAGCTTCATAGGAGCAGTCTTTTTGCTGAGGCATGCAGCTCCAATCTTATGGAGCTTTTTGTGCTGACCATATTCCAGTTTGCTTCATTATACGCTTTGGGTTTAATTTCCTTGCTAAATTTAATTTGGCACTTTTCTAAATTGCTCTAGCTGTTAAACATCGACAGCATTTGGCTCTTCATGGTGGATGCTTCATGTGTAATCAACAAATAATAACTATCATTCAGAAAATTTCTATGCTGTAGAATGGATATTTTCAAGCTAAAATGCTTTCCTACAGGTCCAATTAAGGTAATCAAAAGCCAAGAAAAGTTTCACCTTAAGAGATTAAAATGATCAAATTAGTTCTTAAAGAAGACATGTTTTGTCATCTTTTCCTAACTGGTTCATCTGTTGGGAAGGAAAGAAAGGATGGGGCACTTGCTTTAGCAATTCTAAATGTAGCTATACTAAAATTCATTATAAATAGTACTAGAAGTTACAAGAACTGAAAACTATTAAAATATTATTTTCAAATTCAAAGTTTGTTAAAACACTGCTTTCTTTTTAGCATATCCTTTTACTTTCATGCTGTAAAATGGTATTTTCAAATCATTTCTTTTTAGCATTGTAATTACATATATACTCTATATAGATTAAAAATGATTTTAAAAAATGGAAATCCTATCAGTATTGTATTGTGGACACTCTTAAGAGTTTCATAATTATAAACCTACCTCTGTAGCAACTCATGATTTGTTACATAAAAACCTTATAGTAGGGACTTGCATGTATATTTTTAGTTACTTCAGTGTCATAAATGATTTGTCTTGACACTGTCTGTATTTGCTCTTCCCTCTGCTCATCGTTCCCTCCTTGTTCATCTCTCTTAATGCTTGGTCACCATTGTAGACCTACTTCAAACCTCCTTCCACTGCTTAGTTTCCAGTCCCCTTTACATACACGGCTGTGTGCTGCCCTCCTCATCTTGTAGGAACAACTTGTACTTAGACTCCCTTCTCCCCCATCCTTTTTCTTTTCTTTTTTTTAAAGGTCATTTCAATTCCACTGACAGTCTCTGGTCTTGCTTGTTCCCTGGGGTCTCTGAAAACTTTTCCGATCTCCCCTTCTGCTTAGGAGAACAAATTTTTTAAGGGAAGCAGTGTTCTATTCCCTTTTATTTTCCAGAGAGGTTTACATATTCCCTGATATTCTTTATTTGTATGTGCACCAGAAACAAGGGAAAGGAAGAAACAACCTGATGATTTGTCAATTGCACCCACTGCATTCAAGTTTGATACCACTGCCTTATAAACAGGATGCTGCAGTCGGATGAACACTGGATGAAAAAAAACAAAACAAAAAAACCAAAACCATTTGGATTTGTACAAATATCTGTTATGATTCCAGATTTTGCAGAACTTTGAAAAAAAAAAAAAAACCCAAAACTCACATCTTTCACTAATTAAAAAAGAATCAAGGTACTCTAAATTAAAAAAAAAAAGTAATATATGGTAAGTTAGTATTTATGACTATAATTGTATTTCCTCCTAATCATTTACATTGCAGTGGCTGCACAATCACAGACTACTGAATCTCATAATGACAATAATGATAATATCACATCTTCATAAGCATCTATTTTGAAAGAATATGGTTTCCAGTCTTTTCAGTCACACAATAAATTAAGGCACAGATTTGAAGTATAACATTAAATATACATAAGTAAATGTTCGTAATACTATATCACACTCTTAAACTTACTGTTGTGATTGTTATGTTTTTTAACCACAAATTCTTAATAACAGTAACAATTTTAATATTTTTTTTTAAAAAAACTTTGTACATTTTAAAGATACTAGTTTATGTGCTGCTTAAATAATCTACTTCATTATTCTACAGTTCCATTTCTAATGATCAGAGAATGAAATAAGTCATTGCCTAAGGTAAGTACATTATCATTTTATATAAACAGTCATGTCTAGGCTTTTTGGAATGATTCTCCAATACCTATTTTTATAAGCAAAATCATGTGTTAATATAATCGTTAATAGTAATTTAAAATAATTCAGGACTTATAATTGAGTAAGTGGAGGCCAAGTGAGACTGGTGGAGTAAATCTTTGCCTTACAATGTTATTCACATGAAAGATAACAGCATTTAACTTGGCTATTTCTTGAAATATAGCCATTGTTTTCAAGATTAAATGCTGTTTGGTGTTTCCTGTGCCAGGCAGAATTTAAGGAAATAATGAAAAACAAACAAATAAACTACTCCTTAGCAGGGAGGGCAGGAGGTAGAGATCTCGGGCCCAAATCTAACAGTAAGTTTGGAATAGGTAAGTGAGTTGCTGGAAATAAAAAGCATGACAGTCAAAGGCATAATAATTTGACTCTAAAATCAAAAAGCAGTCTGGGCACAATAAGGTATCAATGTTGCCTATTTGTTGCTTGCTTGCTTGGGATAGTAATTGGCTTATCGTCCAGTTATAGCTTAGGTTCCTTCTTGCCCTCCGAATTTGCACTGTTGAACTCTGGAGCCAAAGGGCAGGCTCAAAAATAGATATGATTGTTCTAATTTACTTCTACCATTACCATTCAGTAGGAAAAATAATTTAACTTGAAGAAGTCAATTATTTGAATTTAAAGATTAGCATTCATTCCAATCCAGTGTTTTATCAGCTGGTGTGCAATAGCTCGGCTTGGCGGCACGAAGAACGAACGTCGATTTCCTTTAATGGTAACGTCCATGACCTGCAATAAATAGAGATTCTTTTCATTAGAAGTTAGTATGACAAATCATACAGAATTATGAGCATGAGAATTATCATACAGATATAACCAGTCTACTGTTACTGCTACTACAACAGAGCTACTATCATGTTCTCCAAGAGAGATGCAAAAAAAAATGCAGAAAGGATGTTATAATTTCTGATATCTTTGAGCTTTAACGTACCTCCAGGCATACTTTTTCAAATAAACTTTTGTCACAGACTGTCTATACAATACTTGAGGCTTCTGTAAAGCCATTATTATGGTAAGAACCACCAGAGGGTGCTCTACACTGCTTTTGAGATTATGTATTTTTTCACAGGCAACTTTTTGGTCTTGGAGGAATTATGTTTTGTTGGTTTTCTGAAGCAGAAGCAAGCAACATGGGAGTATGCTTTTAGCTAAGTGAATTTTTGAAGCATATTTATTCCCTTCTCTCTATGAGTCTGCTGCTGACTCACTGTATTCAGAACTGATACTCATTTAAAATAGATAGGTGTTCTAAATAGGAATAGAGGAGTAGATAGGGATACACTGAAATTGTAGGTAGCTAATTTTGCCCTCAAGTTGCCGTACTGAGTCACACCACTTTCCAGTGTTAGGCAGAAATATAGTGTTGTTAAGAAGTTCAGCTCCTGAGTAGCGTGTGATGACAACCTACATAGTTTATGGTGGTTAGCAATCTTTCTTTTTTTCTCTTGTAATCTTGTATTTCTCTCTGTACTAGTCTTTTTTCCTCCCTCTTTTGACTATATTTTAAATATTCAAGAGAGTTTAAAATTCCATATTAACACAGCAAACTGCATGTAATTACTGGACCATTAGACTAATATTGCATGGGGAAAAAAAAAAAAGATGTTGAAAGTAATGAATTGCCAGAGTTTTACCCTAAACCTCCCCTGTCCCACCTCAACACTAACATGCTTGTTTGGAGAATCTCAGTGTCATTAAGTACTTCTTTCACCTTAATGCAAAGAAAGCACAGGCCTGTGAAAGAAAGTGGGCTAAAATCATTGTAACTTAGAGACCTCTTGAAAGGAGAGGTCACTTCCAATCTTAAGCATTCTATGATTCTATGAAACAATGAACAATTAACTATGACAAAATGTCATGAAATGGGCTTGAATATGACCCCACAGTTACCAAGTTCCCTTATGAATATCTCTGCTTGCAATTTGCAATATCATGCAGTTACAGTATGATGACAAGGAGAATATACATGCTTGTTCAACTTGCTGAAAAAAGTGAATGTTCTACTGTATGCCAGAACCAATACAGTCCCAGACCAATCAATATAAGCAGGAAATTAAATTGAACTTTACCTGTTCCCTAGTGAACCAGCGGGCATCCTCTATTTCATTCTTGTCAACTTTAATTTCTGTAGACACGGCAACAGCTAAGCAACCGATCATTAGGGAGGAGGGCATGGGCCAGGGCTGACAAGAGACATACTGAACATGGCCCACTTTGACTCCAGCCTCCTCTTCAACTTCTCTTCGAACAGCGTCTTCTATCGTTTCACCTAATCAAAAGGGCAAAGGACAAGACATTGAGGAAAATCCCCCAAGCAAGGATTAGATCCTGTACGTTGGACTGCCTCAAAAGATTTTAAACTGGCTTGAACTGCCTGAACTGGCCTCAGGAACTGCCCTGAAATCTAGATTAGGGTGCAGAGCTAAGCATGGGCTACAGAGGACTGCTAAGCCATGACAGTCACCAAAGCACTATTTTTTAAAAGAAACTTTGAAATTAAAGTACTAGAACTTCTCCACCATCATCTTAATTTCCTGAATCAATAATTTACTGTATGTGCAAGCTATCATTACTCCATCTAAAACTATAAAAATGAGCTAGGAGATGCACTGTGCTTTAAACAAATTTCAAAATGCCAGTGATGATGGTCATAGACTTGCATATCTAAGTATGCTCTCTGTTGTAACCACTGATTAATGCAGGTTTCAGTAAACAATCCACACATCAGTACAGTGCTTTACTTGGAGACATTTTGAAAATTCTTTTAAGTAGTTTAAACAGTATTTGCGAGAAGCAAAAGCTTTCATACTGATTACAACATACAGTGATGTTTCCATGTATTTCATTTTGTCTAATGAAAGAACTAGCCACTAATATAGCAAACTCTTTTCATGCAATCACAAAACTAACTTCTCCATACATGTCAATACTTGAAGTTGTTTTCTTTAGTTTTTTTATTCGCTGTTAAACCAAATACTATTTTTGCTAACGAAAAAGCTCTTAAGTTTCGGCTAAGTTGAGCAAACTCTTAACTCAGCAGATCCAAAGATAACTTGCTCTTAAAATTTCCATATTATGTAACTGAACTGCATATCAGAGAGCAGTAAGTTGTCAGGAAGTTAGATGAAAGAAAAGAGTGAAAAAATAAGGCTCCTGGCTTCTTCCAAATGATACCTGAATCAGCTTATTCATGGGGGCACTATAATTCATTGCACAATTACAGAATATGTCTTATACTCTAGGTTTTAAGAAGTAGTTAAAAATTAAAGAATGTTTTATAAAGTATTCTGTACTTACTAGTGATTTTAACTTATTGAAAGTATTATTGCTGAGCACAGTGAGGAAAAGGTCCCTTCATTTCTTTCTGAAATGGTAATATTTCTGCTGGTCTTCCATATAATCAGTCAGGCCTTAAACACTTAAGCACATGCTTAGTATTGATCATTTAGTTTAACTTTCATTTTTCTCTATACTAGAACCCCTTGCTGAATATTGTTAGAGAAAAGTTCTTACATACGTTTTTATATGTTCTTTTAAAAATATAATTAAAATTTAAAATATAATTAGATAATTTGAGAGTGTATAAAAAAACTATTTTAAAATTATAGATATTCAAGTTGTTTTCTTTTTTTTTTAAATCAAGGGATCCAGGGTTTACGAAAGGTATTTTTATTATACCAACTTATCTAATAGGAAGCCATAAACAACATAGAAAAAAAATCTAAAATGTTTTCAGTTTACAATACTTGCATGCAAGTCCTTTGATAAAGCAAAATGAAATTACTCACCTGGTTCAACAAATCCAGCAAGACAGGTAAACATTCCAGGGGGGAATCTTTTCTGCCTACCTAAAAGGCAGTGGTTCCCATCTGGATGGATGACTAACATTATCACAACAGGATCTGGAAGGCACAGGAAAGAAATAATCTCAACTTTTTGGGGACTGAAAAACACCAATAAACCTCAGCCTATTCAGTATTGATGGGTGAAGATACAAATAAGATGCCTCTAAGTACCTGAAATTTGTGGTTCCCCAATGCAAGCTGGTATTTTATTTAGGTTTTTATTTTGTTTGTTTCTTTATTTATTTTCTTTCCTGCAAGATATCTGTTCATTTATTTTCACTACATACATGCTTTGTAAAAGCACTTTATTAGTCAAGGCTTGAAATTCAGGGCATAAATTACCTGCAGCTGAAGCATTAAGCTAATAAGAGGACCAGCAACACTAACCTAGCTCTACTTCCAGCAGCCAGCAACAATTTCAGCAACCAGTGCAATTTCCTATGACCTCCTGCGCACATGTGCAGGCGAAGGATGTACTTGTGATTGAAATGCACATAGAAAAGCTAGATAGTCTTGCTAAAATGTAAATACTGAATGAACTTGCCACTTCTGTCTTTTTTTTGACTCTTCCCGCTCAATCCCTCATTTGACATTGCATTTTTATCTGCTTTCTGAATTTCTGGCCTTTTTGTATTTCCTTTTCTTACTCCTTAATATTTTTTCTTTTTGGTACTGTGGTTTTGTGTCACTGCATAATGCTCTCCAACCCTCTTCTTCCCTTTTTATTTTCATCAGACTATTAAGCAGTCCAGTGTTCTGTTTTTTTTTTCGACCTCTGCCTTTACATTTTTTTTTCTCTCACTATTCTGTCTTCCTTTTTTGTTATGAAGGTCAGTATTTTCTCTCTCTAAGAAGGCTTGAATCAGCAATCAATATAAACAGTATTTTCAAAGACTAGTGCCCTATTCCAAGGTGTTTGCCACATAGCACAGGATACAATTTCAGGTGTTTTTGTCTGTATACTTTCTTTTTCTAGGGATTGTTATGCTAGAGACAGTAAAGAAATAGCTTCACAACAGGCCGTGAGAGAGATGAAAATGGCAAAACTTTTTCACTGGTAGAAAGGCGTATTTGCAGGATATGACCCAAAGCAAAGCCCAGGAATAAGCGCATGCAACATCCAAGATTACAACTGCTGCAAAAAATCAGAGACCCCAGTAAGAGAATGAAAGGTGAGCAGATGGTCACCAGCTGAGGCAGGCAGAGCAGCTTTTTCCTTCCTTGTTTCCCCACCTATAGCATTGAGACACAGACCCTCTGGGAAGAGGCAAGTAACTAGAAAGAAATGGTGTTAAAGTCTGCAACAGTATGGAAGTGGTTACGAATAAGATATTTTTGCCCAAGTTTATCCTACAGTATCCTCACCAACTCTTGGATACGAGGTGTTGTGAACACCGCGGAGACTGGAACAATCTTCTTTCAGGCAGGTTTTCTTGTAGCCCCCCTCCTCAATCTTCGTTGCACTCCCACATGTTGGGCAGAACTGATAGCGGCTGTGCCATGACAGAATGGATCTGGCCTGGGCTACTACTCCTGTAAACGGAGATACAGAAAATCAAATAATAATTCATTTAAGCTTCTAGTATTGTAAAATAAAGCACATATTAAAATTTAATATTAAAAAAAGCAAGGCCATGGCTTAAATTGTCATCTGCTTTAAGAGAAGTTGAGCAATATGATTGATTTGGATTTTTAAATTTTGGCGGGGTGATAGAGAGTACATGCAAATGCAATGCAGTACTACATGAGCACAGGCCAACTCATGTACTCAGAAAAAAAAAAAAAAAAACATGGGATTTCTGGACCAGTATACCCTGTTTCTCATTACCATTATTTCATCTGGGTAAAGCATCCGAATTACATATCACATTCTTGTTGTGGCTATAATGACTATTTCAGCGCTACTACATGTGCCTTCACATAATCATGCTTTGTTCCATTTAAATTAGAGATGGAAGTTACTCGCTTGCTGTTTATCCTTCAGTAAGAGTAACACTGTTGCAACAGCAATTGTTGCAAGGTGCCCAGGCTGGAATGCATTCACTTTTGCAGTCCTTCCCTTGCAGCACTAATTTTCAATATCTAAATCTAAGACTGTACTAGAATACAGCAGGGAGAACCAAAACCTCTTTTCTACTAAAAGTTGCTATAAAATCTTGGAACAAGTCAAAAAAACAATACAAAACACCTGTGTGTTTAGCTAGGATATCCTTAGCGATCATATTTGTGCTATATTGTAATGTTTAAGGACTGCTTTTGTCTGCTTTCTGTTGGCAAAGCACCAAGCAACAGGGTTGCAGTGCTTTGGGTGCTGCTATTGCTCATACTTTTTTCTTTTGGGGTAAGCAACAAATACATTCTTTTATTTCTTGCATTGAAGCTCAGTATTAAGAGGATTTTTTTTAATGCTTTAAAACACATGCATATGCATTTGTATTAAAATAGCATAATTTGTAAAACCCGATGATGAATGTATTTCATAATCCATTACTCACAATTGCAGATACTTTGCAGCTGCATGCGTTTACATACAAAGTTCTTGACAACATCACTGACAAATAGTGGCAATTAAAATTTTTCTAATGCCACTGAAAATGCATAGCTGCCCTACAGTAGTTGCTTGTCTTTGTACTACCCACCAGTGAATCTCTCAGCATAGCTTTCCACTGAGACATCTGATTACAGCTGCCTTTTATGCACCTTACCAGCTTCTTTTTCAGGCAGCTGCAGCAGTGCAGGCATTGGGGGGTGAAGAAAGTACGAGTCTTCGTGCGTCTGTTTAAATTTCTCGGCAGAGGTGGGATCTATGCTCAGAGCAAACCACGCGGTTAAGCCATCCTCTTGGTCCTCTTTCGGCACTGTGCTGCTGGGAGCGGCCTGCGGCTTCATGCGCAGCTGAAGCTCCACTCCCAGGAAGATCAAGGTGACTTCCTCAGCTGGGGTCAGGTACTGCTTTACATCCTCGTGGTGCAGCCTGCAGAGCTTGACTTCTGGCTGCTGGGAACTCTCTGCTTCTCCCCCTAGAGTGACTAAAGGGCTTAGATTGGAGAAAAGGATGTACACTGAGCTTGGATGGGTTTGTTTTTCCCTTAGCCAGTTGGAATCCGTTCTTTTGTCACTCCTTCTGTCCAGAAGTGTTGTGCCAAAGTAATTCTCATGCTCTTTCACTTCATTTGGCAGAAAAAAAGGTCTCTCCCCACCCTTCACATTTGCCAACAAATTAGCTATGTGCTTATATCCCCAAAATTTAGCAATGTCCAGAGCAGTCTGCCGTGATTTATTAACGATGGACCTGTCACACCTACAGAAACAGAACAGAGCAGTGGTTAGCACAGTAATTCTAAGAGCCCAAATGTTGTATTATTCTTACTTATGCATGGAACAACATTGGCACTATTAGGGTGCAGGAATTTTTAGAAATTCAGTCTACATTGGGGCACCTTTTAGGCTAACTACTTTGCATTGTAGTAGTGAAAAGTGTTCATATTCACTTCCTTTTGCTAATGCTGGGTCTCAAGACTGCTCTCCAAATCAACTATTAACGGCCATTCAGGCTGTACTACAACAGGAATAAATTAATATATAATCCAGACATTGTGCAATGCAAAAAAAAAAAATAAATAAAGAGACCAAACAGGGGAAAAAAAAACACTCAAGATTGTTTATAAGCAAGTGGAAGTATAAAAACTGCACTACAGGTCACTTTGGAATAACCAAAAGATATGAGAGAGACATGCGCACAGACGCACATAAAAAGCAGTTTAATGAGCATTACTTTCTAGAAGGTACCCAACATGCTATCAAAAGACTTACAAGACAAGATTTTCTGTTAAATAAGTCTTCAGGCTATAGCCTGTGCTCAGTGAGAGATGACATTGTGCGGTATGAGGTGGTCCATATAGGGATCTCTCTCTGTTTCCAAAACAAACCTCCAAAATCAAAAATTTAGCAGTAACTATTTAAACAAATACAGAGGGGATAACCAATTAATTTTCTGAGGTCACTTTGTGGAAGTGATATTTTAATTTTGTTTACAGTCAAAATATTCTCCCAAAATTCCTTGGCCTTTCACTTGCTGGCCTCAGGACAGTAAATGTTTGACCCTACTAAGTAGAAATAAATTTGTGCCTTATGAATCCCAGTTTATTAAAAAGATAGGAAGCCAAAACGCCAAAATTCAGCATTAAATCAAACTTTCTAGATAAGAGTAACCAAATCTCAGAAAAAAAGCCACAGCAGAAAGAAAATACCTACTGTTTTAATAAACATACAACGTCTGTAGTTATAGAAGCCTATGCCAAGCACAAGTTGTTGATACACACATCCTAATAAAAGCAAGTCTTCTTTGACTTCCGATTGTACATTAAACTCAATAATTTTTGACAGAATTTGAGTACACTTTATGAAAGCATTCAAATTTTAATTTAAAAGCTTTTGAGCCTAAAGGAACTACTGTTGCCCACTTATCTTTTCAGCTTAACTACTCTTACTGTAAAATCTTGCCTTATTTCCTTTGTAATTTCCTATTTTTCCGCCACTGAAGTTTGCTGTGATTTTGTCTTGCACTTGCTGCCTACTCAGGTACATGCAGGCTGTGACCAAATTGCTATTCAGTGTCCTCAACAGCTGCTTCAATTATTTACATCACTAAAATCTCTTTTTTTCCAGTCTTCAAACATTTCTTGTAGCTTTTCTCAAACACAGATGAATAAAATATTGATTTTTGGGATTAGTCTCTGGAATGTTGTATAATATCACCTTCATAGTTCTATTGACATTCTTGTTTATACATCCAGCAATGTATTAATCCAAGTGATTATGACTACATACGGCTAAAATTAGACTGAAGAGGCCACAGAATCAAATCAGCAACTGTACTCAAATTACCTATAAGAAGTGTCCTGAAAAGGACATTTGCAAAAGGAAACTAATCCTTTTTTTCCCACAATAAACAAAGTGGTAAACTCCCTAAAGCCTCAAGGAGAAAGGCTCTTCAGTACACATATTTCAATCAAAAAAACTCGTCATGTAGGTGTTTTTCTGCTTGCTAAGGTGTGCTGATTATAGGGTAAAACAGAAGTTTGTTTGACCCCGCATGCTGAGTCCCAGAGGACAGTTTGTATCCTTTGGCTAGGAGCAGCAAAAGGCTGGGATGACTTGTGGGGCATCCACATGCAATGCCACACACGAGCTTACTCATCCACAATTACACACCAGACTCATCTTGCTTGGTTCTGTAATTAGGGATGCAGAAACGAACGATCTTGATTAATGTAGAGCTCCACTGAACCTGAGTACCTGACTTGTGTCATTTAGAAATGTTTTTCATTTAAAACATTTAGACCCTCACTTTGTTCGGGATTTAGGAGAATCTTCTTTAGGGTCTTGAGCTGAGCTTTGAGGCATCATTTGCTTTTCTCTGGTACTGGGGAAAACTAGGACTATAGCAACTGACCTCAAGATAAGAGAAATGAAATTCAGCAACCAATAACTTTAATATTGCTCAATTAAATGGGGGCCACTCACATCTCACTTCAGTGACCAATAAGTCAGCAAATATATTTCCATGTTATTGTCTGCACTATAACATAGACGCACGTGGATTACAATTAAAGCTCAGAGAAAAAGACAAAGAGGAACATATATATCAACTTTATACACGCTACAAAGGTTGGAACAGGGTATGATTTTTTTCCCATTCTATTGGTTTCTGAGAAGAGTGACAATACAACCTTGAAAATCAAAGCAACAGTTTTAGAGATACCTGTATCTTTTGAGTAGTAAACATGATAAAATTAAAAAATCTGGTTATGAACCATCAGAGAGCAAAATTTTCTTAATTTTAAACCTGGAAATTCTTCCTCTACCTAGTGGGTGAATTTACTTTTCTGATAAAAATATTAAACAAGGATTTGCACCACCTCGAAATGCCCATTCCTGGCCCCGTACATCAGGGCCGTCCAGCCGTTCTGCGCTGTGGCGTTGATGAGCGACGGCGAGCGGCTGAGCAAAGTTCGCAGCCTGCCTGTGTCGCCAACAGCTGCCAAGTGGTGCAGCTGGGCGATCATGTCCTCCTTGAAGCTCCTTTCCAAGTCCGCCATGGCCGCAACTAAGTTACAGAAAACGAAAAAAGATGAAGAATATTTGAACACAAATTTACTGTTGGCAGAAGGATTTTAACAAGTAAATGAAGCGTAATGCTTCGCAGTTAATCCGACACTGCCACCCAAACTATAGATACAACAGTCAAATTCTCATCGTTAGTATAAAATCGTTACTCCTAACCAAATATTAGTTCTGCACAGCTACAAACGTGGCTAAAATTTGGCCCCAGTCAACACTAGTTTTCAAAGTGACTTAAGGACTTTGCGGTGAAAACGAAGCTTGCTCAAAAGCGCAAAGCATGTCTGGGTTTCAGATTAAACCAACATGCCATCAAGGTGAAACTGCTGAACAGCCCCTGCTACAAAGCGAACGTTTCAAAAGTGAAGAAAACAACTAAACAAAAACCAGCATTACAAGGTCCTTCCTTGGCTGTTTTTTGGCCCGCGCGGCTGCCCCTTGCTGCTTGCACTGCAGGTGACACACAGGTCGCAGCACGCTTGTGCCCGCTCCCAAGGCAGAACAACAGAAACTGCGGCTGAAAACCTAGTTTCGGTAAAAACCATTAAACCAACCACACTTTTTCAGCAGCGCTGGGTTATATGAACGCTTTTTTTTATAGGGGAGGTAATTTTAGGGGCAGAGTCCGTAACGGTCCGCGCGGCCGTTAACCGCCACCC